CTCCGATCTCCAGGCAAAAGGCCTAGTTCTGGGACAAACTTACAGATAAACATAGAAAGCCAATTAGTTAATTTTAAATCCTGCTCAGAGCCACTTTGTAACTTCTTCAACATTGCTTCTTGATCCATTCTGCCAGTCTGTGTCATTTGATTGGTGAATTGACACCATTAACATTGATGGTTATAATTGATATATATTGACATCCACATCTTATTTTCCTGTTGTTGACACCACTTTTTTTTTCCCTTCTTCCTCTAATTGTTTGCCTTGCCTGATGGATTTCTTCTGTTGTGATTCATGGAGCTGTAGTCTTTAGTATCTCTTTTTAGAATGATCTTTAGGACATTGTGAATCATTGGTTTGGTCGTTATAAATTTCTTTAGCTGTTCTTTGTCATGGAAGTATCTTATTTCTCTATCACTTTTCAAAGTGTTTGTGGGGTATATCAGTCTGGGTTGAAAGTTATTTTCCTTCAGAGCTCCAAGCTCCCCTTGACTTGAGAGTTTGTGCTGAGAAGTCAACTGTGACTCTGATGGGTTTCCTTTATAGGTGATTTGTTTCTTTTCCCTAATAGCTTTTAAGATTCTATTTTTGTGTTGAATTTCTTGAATCTTGACTATAATACACCTGTATTTGAAGTTCTGTTTGCCTCATGTATTTGTATGTGAAATTCTTGTCTACCAAGGAAGTTTTCTACCATAATATCTTTGAAATTTTTCTTAATATCATTTGTGGTATCTCCTGCTTTTTTATTGACTCCAATCATTCTTAAATTATTGTTCTTTGTTGCTGCTGGGTTGATTTCTCGTAGTCCCTTGCTTTTTTTGAGAACCGTTTTTTTTCCTGGCCATTAACTGCAAGCTTGTCTGATATCTGAGTGGCTTTTCTCACAGTAGCCTAATGTACTTCAAATACTTTCAGTCAAAGTTTTATTGTCTTGAATATCTGCTTGAATCTGCTTTATGAGATTCCATGAGTTCCATTTTTTTTGTATGCTGAATTTCCATAATTTTCTTACACTTGTCTGTCTTTTTTTGTTTGTATCTGCTCTAGTATCACTAAGCATGCATGGTCCTTATTTTGGATACCAGCTCTATAGTTATTTGAGAGATTTTTTCTGATTTCATTTTTTCCAGAGCCTAATTCAATTACTTTGTTGTTACCATTTCAGAGACACCTGGTGGAGGCATTTGGATTGTATCACCTCCTTGACCCCTGCATTTGCCTTTGTCTCTGTTCCAGTAATACAGAGGAATGAAACTCAACCTACTATGTCCACAAATTTGTATTCTTTAAAATCGAAGAAAGAATTTTAGGAAGAATGGAGGTTAAGAGTAGAATATATTTATTGAAAGAAAGAAAGTTTCTGTCTGAGAGAGACAGACAGGGTCCCGAGTGGGTTGCCAAGGACTCTGTCTTTTTTAGGGACTTTTATAGAGTAAAATCATGGGTGAAATGGGTTCAAGATAGGGAAAACTGGGAACTCACAAGGCAGATAGGCATAAGGTGGGACAGAATACAGTTAGCGAATAAGATTAATAGTTCAGGTAAAATTGATTACATTAGGGACAAATGGGTAAGCGAGTCATATAGAAAGTAGGCATTCTTAGAGAGCAGTGACTCTTCCCTAGAGTGTTGGGAGGGTAACTCCTGACTTTCTCAGGGTGAAAGGGAACTATTTAGAATGTCCTTAGAATATGGATGTATTTGTTTGATCTTTTGTCTTGAGGCCTGTCCCGCAGCAGGAGGTGTCTCTCCCCCACACTTGGAAGGTATCTGGGGCTTCTGCACTGGTTCCTTTGAAGACCTAGCCCTCTCTCACTGCCTATAATGTTTCTAACTGACTCAGCTGCCTGCAACACCAAGCTCCAATCACCTGTGTTTACCTGAGATGGGAAGTTGTAGTATAATTTGTCCCTGTATCTAATTTTCCAGTAATTAACCGTAGTTAATGACTCTAAGGCAGTCTGGTTTGCCAACCCTAAGGAACAATGAAGGATCATCCTCAACTGTAGAAAAGAGATCTGTAATTATTGTGTGAACAGAGACAAACCAAATACTGACCTATATAGTACATGTCTACTGAATGGAACAACTCTGCTTTTACTAAGAAGAAAAATTTTCAGTAGCAATTGTATAAAGTTACCTACTTTTCTCAATCTTCATAATGCTAGTAAAAAGAGGAAGGGCTAAGGAACTAGAGAATGAAAAAGCAAAATACAAAAGTATAAAAATTAATAGGATATGAGAAGGAGGGGAGAAAAGTAAGGATTAGGGGATCCTATTTAAGTGGTAAAGGAAATTAATAGTAATAGGAAAGAACAAAGAAGCAAAAGGTGAACCTTAAAAACAAAATAAAAGATAAGGATTAAAATGTTGAAAGGGAAAAGAGAAAAAGAAACTTAAAAGGTGGGATAAAAGGGAGAGAAAACTCCCATACTTCCAAAAAACTTGGTGAAAGAAAGAAAAATAATCTAAAATTTTAAAAATCTCAAAAAGATTGAGTCTAAGGAAAAATTACCTAGTATTATTGAATGGGTGATTTCATTTCAAGATTTGTAGTCTTAGGATCCAACCAGTCATGATTTTCTATGCCTAGTTTTAAGGCCTATGAGATTTTCAAAGTTTCTTCCTTGCTCCTCTGTCTTCTCATACTGTGGTTTCCATACAAGTCAAGGGATATGCTTTCTGTCATTGGAAGATTTGGGAACACACTCAGCCCTTTAGTCTTTGCTAGGTATAGGCCACAGGGTGTGGGTTTGAGTGAGCTGTTGGACTTAATGTCTGCAGTCTGGTTGCTTTTTCTCTCTCTGACCCTTGTTCTTATCCAGAATCAGCTCAGTTGGTTAGTCCTTGCTTGTGCTGCCCTCTGCTGTGAGGAAGCAAAATGTGGAGCTCACTTGGAGTTATTAGGTGGCTGTGCCCTTGCTTGTGGAAGTGAGCCGCCACTCTTCTAGAACAGGTCTGTTTGTTCATGTAGAAGAGTGGTGCTCCTCTTCCTGTGGCAGGTCATCTATCTCCCAAGAAGGAGATGGCATTCTTTCTAGAACTTCAGACTACCTGGAAAAATTTCCCTTCTCCTCTTGTAGCTCTACCTCCCTTTCAAAAATTTTTTAAAATTTTGAGACAGGGTCTTGCTAAGTTGCTAAATTGCCCAGATTAGGTAGGTACTTTTGATCCTACTACAGCCTCCCAGATTGCTGAGCTTATAGATATGAATCATGATGCTTGCTTGACTTCTTTTGTCCATTTTGAAGGTACCTACCTGCTTTCCCTGAAAATAAGACCTTGCTAGAAAATAAACTGCCTTGAAAACTAGAGATTAAAAAAATGCCAGCTGTAACCAGCCTGCTGAGCAAGAGAATAGTGATCATTTTCTTGCTATGGCTTATTTTCAGGGAAATAGAATACATATTTATGTAGTGTTATGAGCAAAAGACTGATGGAGGGAAATTCTTATGGAAAAGAAGTCTGTATTTACAGAAGTTACATTGTTATTTGAGGTGTGTGTGGTTTTAGAGGAATGGTAGCTATTCAGAATCTCTCAAAGTAATGTACTTTTTATAAGGCGAGATGGCCTTCAGAAGCACTTGAGTTACAAAGTTTGTATTATTGGAGCTGGGTCTGGTGGCACATGCGATTATGTGATTCCGTAATTCAGAAGGCTGAAACAGAAAGATTGACAGTTCATGGCCAGTTTAGCCAACTTTATAAGACTTTGTTTTAAAATAGAATTTGTAAAAAGGGCACTCGTAGAGTACTTGTGGGAGGCCTTAGGTTCATTGCCCAGTTTAACCCCACCTCCAATTTTGCTTTACTTGAACCTTATATAACAAAAATACTAGTTATCTACTCATTTTTCAACCAGTAGAAGTTAAATGAACTTTTCTGAACATTTGCCTAGGACTTTGAAACTCAGGATAGATCTCGTGTTGCTAAGCTACTGCTTATAGGTAATTTAGCTGTTTAACTGCATTTTGAGAATATCCAAGGAAGTGATATTAACTTTGGTTGAGACATATTATCCTAGGGTTTAAAAAAATGTATTAATTTACCTATTAATGTTCCTTTAGAATCTGTGCCCTTAGCATTTTAGACAAATTGTTTACATATCTAAAAGGATTCATTGTGTAATTAGTTTTGTTACATCCAAATTGGTAATTGAGTTCAACAGTAACAGTATCATTTGTTCCATAATCTACAATATAAATCATGTATTTATTTTGAGTTCTTGGAAATGAGTGACTAGAATATGAAAAGGTTTAGGATCTCATATGTGGTAGAAATAAAAGTAACTGTGGTGAGTTAATATTTTTATTCCATTGACCCAGCTGATGTCAACTCCTGGAATCTAGATTTTGAAGTAGAATGATTTGATTGGAAATTCACTCCCATTTCACTTGTTTCAATATCTGTGCTTTTGACTTTTGCCAGGAATTGATTCATCATGCGTTCTATATTGCTTTGTTGGAGGTTTAAACCACTATTTGTCTGGAGTTTCTTCAAAGATTCTTCAGGTCTCAAGCAAGTTGACTTTGTGTTATTGTTTCTATTACGGACGCTATCTGATTCCTCACCAAAAGAAGCTTGAACAACAGTGACTTTAGGAGATTAGGGTTTTCTTTTTTATTATGTTAGTAAATGTTGAGAAAGAAGAAGTCCTAGACTGAGAACTTTCATTGGGAATCTAGGATCCTTGTATCTTTTTATTCTATCATCTTTTGTGTATGGGTTTTATTCTACTATAAGCATTGCTAGTTATAAAATAACTCGTAAAGGCAGAAAAAAAGTGTGTTGTAGACAAGAAAAAACAGATACAAAAACCACTGTTATAACTGTCCAGGTCTGACATGTAGCATTGTCTGTGTCAGTAGTTGAATTAATATTTGATGAACAGTGCTGTGCCTGAGGCATTATAAATATATGAAATCTTATTTTTCATATTGGTAAGAAGGTTTACATTTTAATATTTCATCTGGATGTTTCTGCTTTTCTTCTAGGTTCTTATTAAACCCAAACCAGTGACATTTCAGGCCACAGTTGTTAGTGAACAGACAAGACAACTGGTAACAGAAACATTACAGCAAGCATCCAGGGTAGCAGAGGCTGGTAATTCATCTGTTCAGGAAGGAAAAGAAGAACCACAGAGTTATACAGATAGTAGTTCCTCTTCTACAGAATCCTCCCAAAGTTCCCAAGGTAAGATCTATTTTACTTCTGATTTATGTAATTATTTCCTGAATGGTGTACTAGTTTTGAGAGTTGCGTTTAGGAACTTACAGCCAAGTTTGTAGTCTTTGATTTGTCAGTTCTTTTTATTTTCTTTTATTTGATGTTTAACAATGAGCTGAAATTTTAGTTTTGGTAAAGGTTACCATTCTTTCCTATAAGGCATATGTTCATTAAATAATTGGTAAATCTCAGATGATTTTGCCAAGTAGGTAATATTATCTGGATAGAAGTGTGATTCTCAGATGGTAGTCTTCTTGTTTGATTTGGGTAAGCAGGGGAAGAAGTATGGAAGAAAATGAGCATCCCCTCTGAAATGGCTGTTGCTGAACCTGGAGAAATAATCAGGGTTGGCAGAGGTGAGCTATAAATGGGCTAAGTCCTAGTTAATGTCTCTTGTTCTGGCATAAATATTAATAGTATTCCCTTTTACTCTCTGAAGCTTTTAGGTGGTAATTCTGTGGTTGTACTAATTTTACGAAGGAACTCTAAACCTAGCCTTCACATAGAAGGGAGGTCCTTTGTCCTCAGTACTATTGTAATTCTTTTTCTAGGAAATCTCTTGAAATAAAGTAATTGTCATAAGTTTTGAGCCTTTCCATAAGTCTGTTGCTCATGTCATTTAGTTATCTACATTACCCTTAGAATCAGGAGGTACTCATTATTAGTATTCCTTATTCAAAATGTTTGAGATCAGAAGCATTTTAGATTTTTTGGATTTTGGAAATTTGCATATACATAATGAAATCTTAGAGATGAAACCCAGCTCAAAAGCTAAACTTCATTTATGTTCCATATATAACTTACTTTGGCCTAGGAGTAATTTTATATACTTCATTTACCTTCATTTTGACTGTGACCTATCACATAAAGTTAGGTGTGGGGCTTTATACTTGTGACATCATGTCAGTACTCAGCAATTCCACATTTTGGATTTTGGATGAGGATTGCTCAGCCTGTTATACTGATGCATCTAATCTAAGTAAAGCTATTTATCTTCCTCCTTTTTCTTTCCTTGCTCATTTCATTTCTTCTGCCTTTCCATTAGACTGCAGGAGTACTTTCTGAGTACCATCACTTTTTTGATATACATGCTTCATATGCGTGCAAACATATCATCATCATCTTTTTTTTTTTCATTGTCACTTATCTTTTGAATTGGAATTTTGCCATGTTGTGCAGCCTACACTTACAATCCTCCAGCCTTGGCCTCCTGAGAAGCTTACATTATGGCTATGTTCCACTGTACGTGACAACACTTAATTAATTTGACTGTGCAGTGGGATCTTTATAGATTAATAATAATCACATTGTTGATTATTCTGTTAATTCAATTTGACAATTATTTATTAGTTTATATTATGCATTAAGCATGTGTGAGACCCTATTGAGGTTAAGTAAAGTATAGTACTTGTTCTCCAGAAGCCTAAAATCTATATCATTCTGTGTTGATTGTGAGTCAGTGTATATGCTTCTTAGAGTGGAATATATTTTCTACCCATTTATTTTGGGCTTCCTGACTTGGTATTTACAGATTTTAGTTTTATTTCAACTAGTTAACTGCTGGTTTCTCTTTTATTTTCAAGTCTGCATTTCCTTGAGTAATACTACCACCTTTTTTTTCTTAAGAAATATTTTTTATACAGAGTAGGTAAATTGTTTAGCTTATAAATTAGGGTTGACAGGGGAACATAAACAATAGATATCTATATATAAAGGATATCAGGTTATCTTTGAAATTGCTAGTCTTTTCCTAAGGGAACTGTAAACCAATTAATATTTCCCCAAACTGGTTTTTATTCTAAAAATAGGACAAAAGTGTGGCTTTATCTCATTTGTTTTACATTTTTCATTGTGTGTGTGTATATACACAGTCTAAATAGAAAAATTTCACAATTTAGAGTAGATATATCTACTATATAATTGATCATAAAACCAGTTTTTATAATCTCTGTGTTTGTGCCTTCTCACCATCTCCTTGTATAGCCCTTTATATATTCTCACAAAGGTCAGGGCTGCAAATATATGATTATAGAGTAGGAATTCAGACTCTGATCAGTCAGAGATCATGCTGATTTTTAAATATGAGAGCCATATTTACTGGAATTAAAAGCAATACACAGTGTTGCCATTATATTACTGCTTTCAAAGTTTTTAGATATCTGTAAGTAACTTTCTCTTGATATAATTTTAAAATTTACAGAAAATTTTTAAGTATAGTAAAAAGAATTCCTGTGTATACATTCTCTTTACCTAGCTTCACTATGTGTTTATATTATATTTTGCCCTGTTTGGGGAGAGAATTTTAGGAATTGAACCCAAGACTGTACACATATATAGTATATATTCTCCCACTGAAGTATACATGAAGTATACATCTAGCCTTCTTTATTTGTTGATTTTTCTTTCTGTTCCTCCCTCTCCTCTTCTACTGTATCAGTATAATTTTTAGATTTCTTAACCATTGCAGTTTCAGTTGTAGATACCATGTTCCATTACCCTTAATCATTTATATTTATAGCTTTATGTTTCCTAGGGGTTATTCTAAGGTATCACTATGATTATCAAAATCATATCATTAAGATATGATTTTCATAATTTACAAATTTAGTGTTATTATAGTCCATATTCAAATATTAATTTTTCAGGAGTGTTCCTTATAATTTTCTCCTTGCCCGTATTCTACTTCAAGAGCTTATATTGCATTTAGCTGCATGTAATTGTCATCATTCCTTATTCTTCTTTAGCCTAACCTCTCAGTGTTTATTTCATTTCTTGACCTTAACATTTTTGAGGAGTATAGGTTAGTTTGTAGAATATTTTTCATTTTGATTTGTCTAATATTTTCTTATGATTAGATACAGCAGGAATTCCATAGCTGGATGGTATATCCTCAGGAGCTACATGATGACAGTTTGGCACAGTATAGGATATTAACTAACACTGATTACTGATAACTTCCAGTTTTCTCCATTATGAAGTTAACATAGTTCTTAAACAGTAATTTGTTCTTTGAGACTGTATAAATACTCTACTTCTCATCAAATGCTTACCTAATAGCTTTATTAACCAGTTACCAGTCCAATTATTTATATATGGAATGACCAAAAATGGCATATTATTTTGTTAATTTTTATAAGACAGTGTAAAAGGAAATCTAAAAATGACAATTTTAGAAAATTTATTCAATATAATAATCAACTGGTTGAAATGACACTTGCTCCAGTGACATTTGGAATAATCAGTATGTAAGCAAAACACATTGCCCAAGATAGGCTTGGGGTGTACTGTAAAGTGGTGAACCTCCATACATGGTTCATTATTCTTTACACATTTAATAATTGGCATCGTACTGAAAGGAAGACTCAACCTTTTCTTGACTTCAGAAATTTTTTGTGGTGACTTATTCTACAAAAATTCTCAAATAAGGATGTCTTATGCCAAAAAAATACCTCGATGCTGTTCATTTAAAAAAACAAACAAACAAACAAACAAACTTAGTTTCTCCATTCCCAAAGAATAAAATCATGTTTTATTCCTGACCTGTCACTTCATAGACTAGAACATGGGCCTTTATCATCATCCTAATGTGAGACTTCCCTTGTTATCCTGAGGAGGGTTCATTATTCTTTCTACATTATTCTTACAGTATTACTGTATACTATCAGCTATAGTAATGTTGACCCTTTTGTACTTGTTGTTTATTATAATTGTTTTCTTCTTCATTAGGCTATATGCTGCTGTTGCTTCTTTTTCTTCTTCTTCTTCCTCTTGTTCCTCTTTCTCCTTTTCATCTTCTTTCTCTTCTTCCTCTTGTTCTTCTTGTAGGAAACTTACTGGGGAATAGAAATGAAGAGTAAGAGTAGTTCATAAGAGACAAGAGAGGTCCCAAATGGATTTCCCTAGGCTATTTGCTCCTTATGGGTACGGATAGTATTTATCTCTGTATAATAGGGTTTAGCACAGAGGTCAAGTAGCACTGAGTAGGTACTCAGTAAATGTTTCACAGAATGAACAACAGTCAGAAAATAATCATAGTAACTATGGTGTTAGGGTTAACACATTCATGAATTGGCCATAATTTAAATGTGTTACTGCTAGGTGGCTTGAGCTACCAGTAGTATGCGTATAACTACATGGGGTGCTTGTACCATTAATAAAATTAATAAAACACCATTCTCTTGGACAATCATACCTGTACTGCTAGGGTTCAAGCTGGCTTTATGTGACAGATTTGTAAACATGTCTTTGTTGCTTAAGTCCAAAATGTTATTTCTGTCCTAGGATACCCTACTAATTTTGCTGGGCCTTTAAGTGGAATAGTTCTGGACTTTAAAGATTTCTTTGTTTATGTTCAGCCTTATTTCGGAAAGGCTTTAAGGTTCATTAAATACAAGATTTTATTAAGTAATGTGGAAGAGAACAAAGAGACAAAATCAAGGGTAGGGATTTAAAATGGAACAGTACATAAGGCAAATACAAAAACACATTTTATAAACTGGTCATGGAATTCTAGCTTTCAGAATGCTGAGGCAGGAGAATTGCTGTGAGTTCGAGGCTTACCTGAGCTACGTACTTCAAGAACAGCCCCCCTTGCAAAAAAAAAAAACCTCTCAAAAATGAATCAATAAAAATACATGATATAAAGATATTGCTGTAACTCACAATTCAGTTTCTAGGATGATTTTTCCTGAAGATTCATGATCTTGATAGGTCAGAGTGAAGGTGAGGAATATATCCAGATTAAGCAAAACATACTTCTTGTGGAACTTTTTAGACCTATTATGTGCTTGTTTGTATTGTGAAAGATGGGTCAAATATATAATGTAAAATGTTCTCCAACTCTTTTGACCGTGGAACCCTTCTTATGGAGAACATTTTGAAAAACTTTGGTTCTGTGGAACATTTTGGGTGATGCTCTCTAGGCAATTAAACATTGTGAGGTCCTTGAGAGGGAAGGTACATATCATACTTTAGAAGGAATATAGACATTTTAGATATAGTTTAGAAGAAGTAGACAACCTAGAATCATATATGAAGAATGATTGGGAGAAACAAGATGTTTAATCATAGAGAAGAGAAAATGAGGGTGAGTTGACCTAGAGGGAACCTGCGATCTGTTAGCTCTTTTTGAGGACTGTGATATGGAAGAGGGAAAATAATTTGTGGATATGGGTGATCCTGAGAAGATGGCGGATTGATAGGTAGCAGGGTAGAGAGCCTTTCTGAGAAAAACAACTCACACTAGAATTTAACACCATGGAAAAGATCAGATGAAAGGAGAGGGATTCTCATGATCCAGGAAGAAACTGAGGAAAAAGAAAAAAAAAAAAAAGAAGGAAGGAAAAATGTGGATGACAGGCTAGAACCAGATGCACTCTTACTGGAGTCGGTCCCATGCTGTGCTAGGTGTGCCTTGGAATCAGACAACTCACGGTTGTGCTGAAGTCACAGTAGCGCTGAAATCGGGGGTTGGTGAGCCCAAGGCCTTTAGCGAGAGGATGCGGTGCAACGGAGAGTAGAACCAACGTGGAGAGCTGCACTAACCTGTGGTGAGTGCTAGGAATTTGGTCCCATGGAGGGGGTGACCGGCTGACCTGGCTGAATGAGCCTGAATCTGGAACTGCAGTGGCGTCAGTCGGCCTGCCCCTGACCCAAAGCATGATGGTAGAATCTATTTGAGCTGCGTCATGCCCTTGGTCGAGACCCAATAGCCAGGGATGAAACTGTCCCAAACTTATGATGTCTGCACAGTACAGACTAATGTGGAAGGCACTCACTGGTTGACTGGCTGAGAGGGGAAGGGCCAGCCCACATCATCCTTGCATGCACCTCACATATCAATAGCAAATTGGAGAGGGCAGCAGTCCCCTAGCCTGCATGCTTCAGAAAAACCATAAGCAATATGGAAAGGGCCTGAGACCTCCACCATACACCTGTCTGGAAGAAACCATAAACATGACAAGAGAAAGAAACAAGGAAAAGCGTGATTGTGAAAGGAAAGATCTCTTAAAAATAACAAGGAACCAAGAAATAACCATACAAAGGCTAGAAAACGACAAGAGGATCTATAACTTAATAAAAAAACGTGAGCAAAGAAGCAGCAGTAAACACAAATGAAATATAAAGGCTATTCACAGAAATAATTAAGGAAAACTTCCCAAGCATAGGGAAAGGAAATGTTATTCAGATCTATGAGGCATACAGAACTCCAGCCAGCTACAACCAAAACAGATCTACCCCCTGATATATAATAATCAAGATCCCAGAAATCCATCACAAGAAAGAATATTAAAAGTGATCAGAGAAAAGAAACAGATCACCTATAAAGGAAAACCCATCAAAATCACAACAGACTTCTCAACACAAACTATCAAATCAACAAGAGCTTAGAGCAAAGTATTCTAAGCCCTGAAAGAAAATAACCTCCAACCCAGATTGATGTACCCTGAAAAACTGTCTCAAAATTAGTGGAGAAACAAAAATGTTTCCATGACAAAGAGAAACTGGGAATTTGTGACCACCAATCCAAGCCTACAAAAAGTACTGAAGGACATTCTAGAGAGAGAGAAAAATTACCAGGATTCCAGCAACACTGGCAGAGAGGCCTCAATGAAGGGGCAGGCAATGGAATGAAGGAGAAAAGTAGACAACCAACAGCAGAAAAATAGCAAAGCAGAGATGAGACAGAGAAGACTGGCTATAATCTCTAACACAGATGTCCTTGATACATTAACAAAAAGAAACACATGGAGAGTAGATCAGGAGATAGGGTCCATCGAGATGCTCTTTATAGGAAATATAATCTACCTGAAAGAGGGTTAATGAACCGAAAATCAAAGATAAGAAAACAGTGCTGTATGTGACAGGGAACCAGAGAGAAATAGAGACTGCTCGTCCAGCAGCTGCAGATAGGTTGAAAAGTCATGACACTTTTGTGCAGTGGAGAACTACTCAGCTATAAGGAAGGAAAACCTTGAGGCTTTAGTAGGTAAAGGAATACAGCTCAAAATCAAGCTCAAGGGTAAAAAGGTTCAGAACCACTTGGGTAGGTAGCAGGTTTCCCCCTAATCTAAAAACTAAAGGAGTTAGTGGGACCCAAAATGTACAAAGCATCCTGAGAAAGGGAAAGGGGAGGAATTGTATAAAAAAGGAAGGCAGAGGACATTGTTAATAGTGTATCAGAATTTAAAAGCCACATTAGTCTCATCACTCTGTTTAGTTTGTTTTTATTCTGTTCCAGTCTGTCTACTCAGACTACATTTGAGGGCACAGACAGCTATCCCAAAATAGCAGAGTATACTACAGTAACTATCCTTAATTTCCTGTTAACTTAACCTGAAGCCCTGTGTTACTTATACTGTCTTACTATGACTGATCTTATTTGAATCTGAATTGTTAGATCACTGTTTTGTCTTGACTGATTTTAGTCAAATTTGGGATGCTTGATAGTATCAAGTTTAAGAGTAGAGGCAACTGCTCTGAAGACGACAAGATGCAATAGGATACCCATTCTGGTTTGATTATTAACTGCTTTTGAAGTCCTATAATGTCTCCAATGTTTTGTTTTTATTAATATTGCTATGTAGTGCTATGTTCAATTATATTATGCCTGATGATATAAACAATTCTATTGAAAATAACAAGAGACATCATAGTAACTACTGTAGATCACCTAGTATTGTGATTTATTATATGTCTTTCATTTCATGTTTTTCTAGGAATTTGTTTTGTTGTCTTGTTTTCATTTGCTTTTCCCTGTAATACACAAAGGATAGGTATACATGTAGAGATTCACACGTGTGTAGAACTTCTAATAGTTTACAAGAATAGATTATATAATGCACGATGTAATGAACAGATGCTCTGAAGAAAAAGAGACACTAAGATAACCAGTGCTAATTCCATAGCGTCATAATATAAAATCTAGCAATACTATTATTCTCTGTCTAGAGTGATATTAGTCTATTTTCTTTTTAATTTCGACTTACGTAAAGATATAGACAGCTGTTTTGAAGAGAACAAGAGACACTATGGCAGCCATTGTTGACTTCCCTATTGTCTGGTCTTGAAGACCTAAAATGCCTTCATCATCCTGTTCTGATGAGTTTAGTACTATTTTGTTTGGTATGAATTCCCTGTATGTGAAGATACGGACAACTATTTGGAAGAAAACAAGAGACAATATGATAGACAGTGAAGATCTTCAGTGGTCTTGCTTTTAAATCTGTGTTTCTTAAATTGTTTTCTTATGATCTGTTTTTGTTCTGTTTAATTTTACTCTCTTTAAAATGAAAAAAAAAAAAGAATTTGTGGATATGTAGACAGACACTAGAACCATTGGATAAAATTGACAGGAAGGTCTCTTTCTACTCAATATAAGAAAACTTCCAAATTGTCATAGCTATGTAGAAATGAAACAGTACTGTCTTACAAAGTAGTGAGTTTTTTGTTGCTAGAGTTTCCAGATGTAGAGATATTGAGACAAGTTTAGGGCAATGATAGCCTTAAATAAAATTAAAGTTTTATCTAAAAAAGAGGTGTTAAGAATATATGAAGTGTGATATATAAGGTTTTGGTAGTAAAGTCAGGATATGGTCTTGCATTGAGAGGCTTGAGTCAGCCTTTAGATATAATACTGAAGTATATACCTCTAATACTTAACCTGTAGTAAGTGGCCAATAAAGACTTATTAAATGACCTGTGGGGAGAGTATCTGAGGGGGTAGCAGGACACTATCCTTAAGAGATGTGAAGACTAGATAGATGTATGCTGTATAAGCAGATGGTTCTGGTAACAAGGTCAGACTCCAGGTGTTTCAAGCATTGTAGTTTGATCAAACTTGGTAGGCAATAGATTTATTGAAATCTAAGCATAAATCAAAAATAGAGGAAAAAATTCATTCAAGGAATGGTTTTGTGTCATAACTATTGCAGTGGTATACTTGGTGATAGTTGTTCTAAGTATGAACGAAAGGATCTCCTAGCCCCTATAGGGTGTTGTTATTTGAGATGACAGGCTCTGTTGTTCTCATGTGGAAATTTGTAATATTTTTTCTTATCTCTTTCTACCTGGTCTCTAAAATTGCACTCCTTGTCTTGTGGTTATTCGATGTGTCTCATAGAGTTGAGTTGCAGAGTTACTTTTTTCCTTTATCTTGAAAATTTCTTAAGTTTGAGCACTTACATTATATAAAAGTAATGATTCTCTAATATCAGTTCTCTTAAATTTAAATTGTACATGTCTACTTCGGAATACTGTTTATTAATCGTATTTAAAATTCTAGATCTATTGTATATTGATTTTGTTGTTTTTTTTCATTATCTGTTTCATTATCAGAAGAGCTGTTCCCTTTGCCTCAATATTTTGTACAACTGTATGGCTTGCAAAAAATGCAAGGGTTAAATGTTTGTTATGTTTATTACTGTTTTTTTGGGCTGTGTGAATTTTTTTCATTTGTTTGTGAAGTTTTCACTGACCACCTACGTATTATTTATTTTATTTTATTTTGAAGAGAATAAAACCAAATAAAATAAAACAGAATAGACTTAATCAAAACAAAACAATGAACATTATACAGGACTTTAAAACAATATAAAAGGAAATTAACAATGGCTACCATAATACCTCTTTACTATATTCAGAATTACTGCCCATACCATCAGACATAATAAAATCAAACAAAACAGAACAGAATAAGATCAATCAAAACAAAACTATGAAGACAATACAGGACTTCCAAACAAGATAATAGGAAATCAACAATGGCTACTGTAATGCCTGTTATCTTCAAAGTAGCTGCTTATACCATCAGACATAATAAAATCAAACAAAACAGAATAGAATAAAATCAATCAAAACAAAACAATGAAAGCAACATAGGGCTTTGAAACAAAATAATAGGAAATCATTACTGACTGTTGTATTTGTTAACTTTGAAATAGCTATCCATGCCATCAAATATAATAAAATAAAAAAAATCAGAACAATGAAAACAATACAGGGCCTCAAAACAAGATAATAGATGAACATCGGCCACTGCCTTCCCTGTTTTGACATTTCCTCCCCTTTTACTTTCACAATATTTATTGTGCATTTTGGATCCCACTAACTTCTTTAGTTTTTTATACTAGGGTGATAACACGATGTTCATCCATGTAACTCTGAAGCATTTCACCCATGAACGTGTTCTCAAGTTGTATCCATTTACAAGAGCCTTGAGATTATCTTTCTTTATAGCTGAATAGCTTTCCATATCTTTCTTATCCATTATACCATTCATAGGCAAGCTACCCCTACTTTTTTCTGATTCCCTGTCACATAGAGCATTGTTTTCTCTCCTTCGACTTTTAGTCTGTGAATTTCCTTTCGAGTTAAATGTGTATAAAGCATATTGATGGATCCAGTCTCCTGATCCACTCTGCCTGTTTATTTTTATTGGTGAATTGAGGCCATCTATATTAATGGTTATGGCCAACATGCACTGGCTCATTGTTGTGTTGCTATTTTCCTGCCATTAGCTGTCTACTTTTCCCCCCCATTCAATTCCTCTCCATTCAATTGCTTGCCATGCTTTGCAATCCCCCTTTATTGCTATTCCTGGAACCATGGTCATCTTTATCCCTCTCTAGAATATCCTTCAGTATTCTTTGTAGGGTTGGTTTGATGGTTGTGAATTCTTTCAGTTGTTCTTTGTCATGTAAATATCTTTTTTCTCCATTAATTTTGAAAGATAGTTTTGCAGGGTACGTTCATCTGGGTTGGAAGTTGTTTTCTTTCAGGACTTGAAATACTTCACTCCAAGCTCTCCTTGACTTCATGGTATTGAGAAATCTCATGATTCTGATGGATATTCCTTTGTAGGTGATGTGTTTCTTTAATATTCTATTCTTGTGCTGATTTTCTGGCATTTTCATTATTATACGTCTAGGTGCAGAGTTATTTTGGTTATGGCTAGCTAGAGTTTTAAATGCCTCATTTCTCTGTATGTCACATCGTTTCTCCTTGCTTGGGAAGTTTTCTGCTATTACTTCGGTAAATAGACTTTTTATGTCAATTGTGTTGACCCCTGCCTTTTCACTGATACCTATCACTCTTAAATTATTTTTCTTTGTGTCATCTTGCAACCATTGAATTATTTCCTGGTTCCTTGTTGTTTTTAAGAGATCTTTCCTTTTTGTGATTGCTAGCTGCAAACCTGTCTTCAAGATCTGAAAGTTTGTCTTTATTTTCTTTCAAGCAGTTTTGCCAGCTTTTAGTTTTTAATTTCGTGGATATCTCTTTGAATCTGTTTTGTGCATTCTATGTCTTTCTTACATTGTTCATTCAAAGTTTTCCTCATTTTCCTATGCTTCTTTATTTTTATCTATGTCTTCTTTAGAGATGCTCAGCAATTCTTTTATTATATTTTTCATTTCTTCTTTTACCTGAAATAGTATTTCTGTTCTAATTTCTTTTATAACCTCATAAAGTTGTTTCTTTACTTCAGTTGCCATCACTTTAGAAACTTCAGATGTGTAATCCCCAAGGTCTTTCATGTTTATATCTCCTGGACTTGCGTTGCATGTGTTGGAGGCTAGAGATTTCCTTTTGCTTCTTTGTCTTGACATTTTCCTGGGTTCTTACAGGCAAGCAGGTAGTGGGATCCCAGGCACTTCCTGTGTTGGCTACCATTTCTCCGAAGTGTGGCTGATTTGTTCTCCTGGCTAATGCTGGCTACAGGTATCTGATGGTGGTATTGGATGTGCTGGTGCAGGACTGGCTGCTGCTTTTTCCCAGCCTGTGCTGATTATGGGCAAGGTTGCCTCTCTGATGGAGCTGGTTACTGGTGGGAAGTGTCCTTGATGGCAGCTGGTGTATGTTCAGGGCCAGTGACCACCTAATTTAAAGTAATCTCTTACCTTTTATATGTCTTATTTGACCTAATCATTTGATGTTTACTCCAAGATATAAAACCACACATTTTATGTTTTCTACTATCATACTGTAAATTCAAGTATAGGAAATTAAGATGTCTTTGAATTTTTCATACTTGCTCATGTATTGTCTTGAAAAAAGTTGTTTAGGAAGTAATAATCTAGTTCAACCTAGGTTACATGTATGTGTGTATGTATCAGGGACTTGGCCTAGACCCCCAATCTCCCAAATAAATGTATGGTGAAGGCTTAAATAAATGAGATGGGTGCTATGATTTTAGGGCTCCAGGAGGATCAAAACCCTCTGCAGTTTGGGGACTCTGGTGGCTAACGCGGGATACCTCTGGGCAGCCTGTATTTATTATTTTTTTCAAACAACATAGGAAACTGAACAGACTTTGGGAGTGGTTCAGGGACTTTGCAAATAACAAATTATGTTATTAAGAAGTATCTTAGGAAAGGATCTGTATGTTGCATTTCACTGCAGGGGTGAAATGCATGTGGTTATAGTCTTTATTTAGTTAATTGACGTTGGAACCAGGTGTCCTCAGCCATTATCTTATCTTGCCACAGCCTTGCAGCTGCCCTGCAAGTGTGTTCAGTTTCCAGTTTCAATGGCTCCCTAGTATCATGAATGTAATAAGCCTTTGAATTAGAGTCTTAGAATGGAGAACTTGCAGACTCTAATGACATTTCTGACGTCCTTCATAGTTTATAAGGCTCATTCACTTACAGCCATGCTCCACATACTAACTGTTTAGTCAATAATGGGCTGTATTATGACAGAAGAGCAGTTGGCTACACTATATAGCCAACTACATGTATGGTGAACTATACCGCCTAGGTTTATGTAAATGTGCACTATGATCACACAATAACAGAACTGTTCAATAAGGTTTTCTCAGAGCATGCTCTTATTAAGCAGTACACGATTGTATAACATTTTACTGTATCCTCAAGTACCCTGAGATAGTTATTTTTATTTTAGAAATAGTAGAATTAAGTTCTAAAAAAATCAGCTTGTTATTTATTGATAGAATTTGATGTGTAACTATGACTTTGACCCCTAAATGTTACACTTGTCCTATTACATCATGCTGTTTCTAGATCATTTAAACTTTCTTGCTGTCAATGGGTAACATTTTCTTTTGGTAATTCACCCTCCCAATAAGTGTTGAATGAATGCTCGGGAGTAGCACAGAATACATGTTCAAGTGCATTAGGGAAAATAAGACTCTTACCACATTTTGTTTTTACTATACACAAACATGGACTTACTACATAAATGCACACCTATTTATGTCAGTTATCACAATGAATTGTACTTTGCTTTTACACATTCTTCTTTCTAGCCGGACTTCTTGAGTATTTTCTGATTATTCTGTGAGCTTCTTTAAATCTTCAGTGCTGCATATAGATTCTGATACCTATGTGTTTAACTTGTGAAATTAATTAACTGAAAAACTAAATACAGAAGTGAAAGATAATGTACCCCTGGGGACTTACAGTTTTCGTGGAGTGATAAAGCAGAAATTTACAGTAAATGCAAAGATAAAACAACAAAAGCAAATTGTTTTAAAGAGAAACTTTGCTTATATATATTTTTTTAATTAATATAAAACAGATTCCCAGCCTGTGGTTCATGTAATTGCTTCCCGGCGTCAGGATTGGTCAGAACATGAGATTGCAATGGAGACTAGCCCTACCATAATATATCAGGATGTATCCAGTGAATCACAATCAGCTACTTCAACAATCAAAGCTCTGTTAGAACTCCAACAGACAACAGGTATGAATTCATTTGCTCAATTGAATGAAGCATATTTTCTCTCAAAATAGGTTGTACTAAAATACTACCACTGATATATATGTTTTTGCTATTACTTGAACACATCTCTCCTCCCTGGACTTGTCTATAATTATTGATACATTCTGTTTACTTGTTCTTTAAGATATATATAGGAGTACTGAAGGACCGTTGTATAAAAGTCTTCGGAATGGAACGTTGGCAGAGCTTTTTTGTCTCCTACTTAAAATGGACAGCTCTCTTAACCCAGAAAGGAGTAGATTTGTCACTTCTAGGCATAAAGATGGATGCAGTGGACTAGCTAGTTGTACAAGAATTTAATAACAGCAGGGTGCAAATTGAAGGGCCCCTCACATCTTCTTTGATATTTGTAGATCAGTAAAATAGCATTAATAGATGTTGCTAAAATTCTAATTTAATTTTATTTTCAAATTTATTTCTTTGTATAAGTTATCCACTTGAATGGCCAAGCAAAGCTATACTCATATAACAAGGTCCTAACAGGATTTCTGGTTACTAAATATTTTTTATAAACTCTAGGAAAACCCAATGTAAGTTATACCAAGTTTTGTATTATAGTGGGTCAAAGATTATCATCAGAGTATTAAAGGGACCATAGTGATGATTTCATCCAGCCCTTTCATTTTATAAATAAGTAAACTGAGGTTTAGAAAGGTTACCCAATTGGTTAGTGGCAGATTGAGGCTCAACATCTTTTGATCGCTAGTTTACTGTACTATTTGTGTGTAATCTTGTATTCATTTTGTTTTGTTTTGCTTTCTTTCTGATTTTGTCAAAATGTTTCTTTGAGGGAAATGATATTTCAGTGGACTTAATCACTACTGTTTACTGTTTTTTGTAACTTCCACCCCAGTACTACCCCCCCATCCCTATTTTATGCATGTTTTAGGTTAATCCTTCTATTGGTGTTATTTTTGGCCTTAGGCATTTTCTCAGCTACTTTCCTTGGACAAATTCAACTATTTCCATTTCTACTTCATAGAGGTAGTAACTTTGAATGAAGAGATTTTTGCAGAAAAATTGTTAAAATAGAGAATGAATCTGTATATAGAAACCATTCTTGATTCCTGAGTGTCCTATCAGATATTTTTGCACCAACAGAGAGCCTAGTTTTTCCTAACAGTAAAAATTTTTATTCTTTAAGCATCATTGAAAAAAAATGTTGAAAACCTTGTAACATTTGTTTAGGAGATAGCTTGACTTTTAGTAGATCAAATTACACTGGTCATTGAATTATGCTTTTGGGGACAGATGTGCCGTAGAACAAACCATGCTGTGTACTGCTTATTTACCCTTTGGTTTTAGGTTTTAAACTCAAGGTTACCAGGAGCAGCTTCAACAGATAAAGAAAATAATATAAGGGAATTTGTATGAGGGAAACAACCACTAGTTTGACCTAGTGATAACTGGGAATGGGGACATTTTAGTGTGATTGCATTATGAGTTTTTAGTTGACTGCTGGGTATGGTTATGCAAATTGTACATTTTCAGCCATATGTAGCAAACTCCTGTTTTCAATTCATTGTCTCCCTGGTCCCTGCTGGTGTGGCATGCAGGTGTGGTGTGTGGTTCTTTATTCCCATGGACAGTGCAAGTTTTAGTGCTTATTTGCAATAAAAGTTAACTTTCCCTCTGACCTTTTTATGCAGTAAAAGAAAAGTTGGAATCTAAACCAAGACAACCTACTATTGACTTGAGTCAAATGGCAGTGCCTATTCAGATGACCCAGGAAAAGAGACATTCTCCTGAGAGCCCATCAATTGCTGTGGTAGAGTCAGAACTAGTTGCTGAATATATCACTACTGGTAGGTATCCTCTTAAAATGTAGTACTAAGGTAGGGAAGCTACCTTACTGGGTTCCATGGAACGATCATTAGGGGAAAAATGAATTCTTTGTATTTCTATGTCTTTTTCCTTTGTTTTCAAAGAAAATTTGTGTCTTGGATTTTACCTTGTCTTTACGACAAAAAAAAAAAAAAAAAATCAAAAGGATATTATAAAAATTACAAGTAATGTAAAACTGAATGTTGGCCATAAATAGTAATCTGTGAATGTAAAGCAACAGTGGTAGAGAGAAGGTGAAATAATCTGTTATCTGAAAACAGATATTTTTATGCATCTGGATGTTTTAGTTTTGGGAGAGGTGAGTTGAGACAGAAGGAAAATGAACCAAGAAAATATTGAATCCCTGTAACTACTTAGCAGTTCTTGTGGAAAGCTGAATAGATACTTGCTTAAAATGTGGTTTAGCAGCAAAACACTAATGAGATTTTTGGATGACATAAATGGAAAACTCACATAAGAGGATAGTATATTCTTTCTGTCATATTTTCAGTAGGCCACATTACTTTCTGTTTTGGATACTTTATTATCTTGAGATTTGAAATAGCTTAGAAAATGGTAGTTGAATAATTAAGTTAGGAGAGATAACTTTTGAAGCATTATGTAGAAAACTTCTGTCTTAAGTTTTCTTAAGAAGTGTTTAAAGGAGAGCATAAATTTATAGATACTTGCAAAAAAATAAAAAGTTACAGATATCTGAAGGATGTAGAGGAATTTCCTGGTGTCATTTTAGTAGATATTATTAGAACTAATGGGTTAGTATTGCCCAAAGAGGAAAATCTAGTTAAAATTATTGAAAGTCATCTACAGTTTTTCTTTAGAGATATTTAGAAAGCTAATTAAAGCAAAGGCCAGTATATTGGGGGAGCTGAGTATTAAGGGATAGACTAGATTATCAGACAGTAAATAGATGAATAGACCTATGATATCTTCCTTACTTATCCTTTTCAGAACGCACTGATGAGGGGACAGAGGTTGCTTTTCCCCTTCTAGGTAAGTGGTGTGCATCCATTTGTAGTATAATTGAAGGTAAAAGGTGATTGTTTTGGGGGGAATCACTTAAATGGATGCGCTCTACTCTGATCTGGTAGTGGAAAGGTAAGCTCCACTTAATGAAAAGATTTTCTTTAAGAGGAAAAATTTTCTTTTTATAGAGTAGTGGGATGCTTTCTCAGAATTAGCAATTTAACTCTGGGAAAAAAAAGGAGATGTTTAAAGAAATAAATGGCTCTTGATGGTGTTTACATAGCCTGGTTAAGATCACTTCATTTGTTTTCTGAATGTTCACTTTATGACCTTCTTTCACTATCTCTGCCCATCATACTTGCAGCCATGTTGAACTTAAAGCCAGTTGCTCTGGCCTCTGTATCATTCCATAGCGGATAGTTCTAGACTTTAATCAAGTTTAGTTTCTTAAACTTGGGGGACTTTCTGTGAAGAAGTTGATAGTATTTTGAGGGATAATTATTTTTAGAGAATGTGCCATTGAATACATTTTTTTCTGTGTTTAAAAAGTGCAATAAGGGCCGAGGATTTAGCTCAGTGGTGTAAGCGCCTGCCTGGCAAGTGCAAGGTCATGAGTTTGATCCCTAGTACCAATCAATCAATCATCCCGGTACCAGTAAATAAATAAATAGTGCAATAATTATGAAGAATTGCTAGGAGCCGGGCGTGGTGGCTCATGCCTGTAATCCCAGCACTCGGAAGGCTGAGGTAGGAGGATCATTGCAAGTTTGAGACCAGCCTGGGCTACAAAGTGAGCTTAAGGCCAGCCTGAACTGCATAGCGAGACCCTGTCTCAAAAAGACTAAATAAATAAATAAATAAATAAAAGAATTGCTGGGAATATAACTCAGTGGCATAGCACCTGCCTTGCAGGTCAAGAGTTTGATTCCTGGTACCCCACTCACCATCACCACCACCACCACTAAAAAAAGAATTGTATGGGTAGCAGAAATGTTCCATATAATCTGATAATTTCATCAGAAATTTATTATTTATCAAATGTTACACATTTTCAATGATGTTTCCGTTAAAAAACTTTGTTGATAACATTGTAATTTGTTTTTTCTCCTATTCTGTCATATTTAAATTATTTCAGTAGTTGTTTTCACATAAGCCTTAATTACTTTTTCAATTCACTTGCACAAATACGGAATATTTTATTAATTAATAATTTTAAGCTGGACATGGTAGCACACACCTATAATCCCAGCACGCTGGAGGCTGAGACAGGAGGATAGCATGAGTTTGAGGTCAGCCTGGACTACATAGTGAGCTCAAAACCAACCTGGACTACACAGCGAGACCCTGTCTCAAAAAACTAATGAAAAAAATTATTTTTAAAATATTAATCATATTGTGAAACACAATAAGGGACGAAAGGACATTTATAAAAATATCATGATACTGCCTATAGTCTTTTGTCATATGTCATATTTACAGCAACAAGAGAAACATTGTATTCATGAATATAGATAAAAAGTGTCATAAATAATAATTTTATATTTCACTGAATAATTTTAAAGATCTGCCCTGGTAATATATAAAATAGTACTTTCATATTGATTTCTATAATATTTTGGGCACCTCATTCTTTTTCTAAACGTGGAACGCATACTACTTGAAATTTTAGATGAGAGTATTTCACTGTGAGAACCATAGATATCTTCAAAATCCTTTGCTAATATTCAGATCTGTTTCATTTGTTCCTGATTCAAAAGGTTGAGTTTCTAGTAATTGTAAGTATTTTTAAAGTTCTATAGATCTGGAAGTGGTAAGTGTTTATACTGTTAAAAGTAGAAATTGAAGCTGGTATAAATAATAGATTGATGCCTATATAGATGTACAGTTTTGGTTATTCCATGAGATCTTTGTAACAAAGAAAATAAGAAATGAAGTGGTTTCCTACACTGTACTGCACATTGTTCAAATGAGCTAAATCTGAGATAAAAGATTTTTCTATTTCATATTTGTTCAAAACTATATAATTTTAGGGTCATTTTTTCAATCTATTACTTTATTTGGCCCTTTCAAGTAGAAATGGTAAGGCTTTATTACCCTACTTTTAAGGTTAAGAGAGGGTATGTGACTTCTTTGTATTCAGATAGCTGGTTGGTAACAGATCAAGACAGAATCTTAAGTGTACTTCTTAGTCTAACTTCCTGTAATATCGTCCTGACCTCTTGCATTTTTAGAAGCTGTAGGCTATCAAGCAGTGTCCCTTCATGAAAAAGAGTAAATATATCTAATGTTTGCATTTGGGACAAGAATCAGTAGATTGAAGAACTTATATTGCTTTATTGTCCTTTAACGTATTTTCCATTAAGAATCCCATTATTGCTTTGTTACCTCAATGGGATAAAAATCCTTGAAGAAAAAGATAAGTCACAGGAGGATGTAACCCTTGATACCATCAAGGGTTTGTTACTCCATCATGATACTAGTTCTCACAGCACTTCAGTGTACATTTCTCCGTTTATCATTTTGGGTCTTTTGTCCCAGATTTACAGATGGGGAAAAGCTTCAGAGAAGTTAGACATTTGTAGATAGAGTCACACAGCTCATAGATGAGCAGGTTCTTTCTTCTGCCACTTAGCTACAACTTTCTGTGTGATGCAAGTTCATAGACATTTGTTTAAAATGACTACTGGTTACAGATGCTGTGGCGATTTCTGGAGAAATATCATCATCACCTCCTCTATTTTCAGTCAGCCATCGCTCCCAGCCTCAACAACCTTCTCAGGCCCAGCGGACACTGCTCCAGCATGTGGCTCAGTCACAGACCGCAACACAAACTTCAGTGGTGGTGAAGTCCATCCCAGCATCCTCTCCTGGAGCAATCACTCATATCATGCAGCAGGTTGTATCTCTTCTTTGTTTTCCTTTCTTCTCTGTCTCATTCCTAAAATAAGGTTCTGTTTCATCTCTTGTTTTAAGAGGAAAAATAATTGAATTATGGTGTTTGAGAAAATGAATTTAGGGCCTTAATAACAGAAAATAATTAGGAAGTAGTATTCTTAAATCTTTAGTGAATGCTTAGCATTTCAAAAGCATAGGAAGTTCTAGATGAATCTAATGACATCAGAATTGGTCATATTTCGGACTGGGCATATAACTCAGTGGCATAAGTGCCTGCCTGGCAAGGGCAAGGTCCTGAGTTCAATTCTCAGTTAAAAACCAACAACAATGAAGAATTGGTCCCTTCTGTGTATTTTACTGTTATGGAAGAATTTATCACTGAAGTAAATAAGATTCTGAAATGAAAAAGCATTTGACTTGTTTATCTGTTTGCTGTTGGGTCTTTTTCTTTTTTTTTTTTTTTTTTTGGTTCTGTTTTATACTTTTATAATGATTCGACATGGAAACATTATGAAGGAGTAGGAAAATAAATATTAGAAGTTTTTTGGTTTTTGTTTATTTTTTTATTTGCAACGGGGTCTCACTAGGCATTTCAGTTAGCCATAAAACTCATGGTGATCCTTTGCCTCAGCTTTCCAAGGGCTGAGATTATAGGCATGTGCCACCATGCCTGAACTTAATATTAGACTTTTAAAACTATATACAACCAATTAAAGGAGAAACTCAGCAGAAAGTAACTAATATATAACAGAAACATCTGGAGTTAAGAGTAATGGGGAAAGGAAGAAGTAAGTTGTTAAGTTGATTTTGTTGTCAGAAACTGTGCTTTGAGTTTTAAAATCTTAATTTATTTGCATCTCATTATGATCTTGCAAGATTGATGTATTAAGTTAAAGTGTTTCATCACTTTTTACAAGTGATGAAACTCATGCTTGCAGAATTCTTTTAGGTAACTTGCCCCAGGTGGCAGAATCAGGATTTAAACCCAAAGTGAACTGCCTCTATTATAAGTTATATTACAGGTATCAGATTTAAGTATGACTTTTCTTTGATAGTCTTACAAGTTACCATTGCTTAGGTGGTAGCAGTTGAACCTAATTGTAGGTAAATTACCAAAAAGGCAATAAGAGTTGTTGAATTGAAAATCTATTAAGTCAGTGAGATACAAGGAGACTTCTTTGAATCTCAGTTTTAAAAGTTTAGAGCAGCTGTGTAGTATGTGACAAAGCATCAGGAAAGATAGGGATAGGGTTGATCTTGTGTCCCAGAAGAGGCCATCTCTGGCCAGATATTTTGCTAGGTGGCAGGTCTCAGTCTGGTCCTTACAAGACACCATAACACATCTTGACATTGACCTTCTCCAGGTATTTAGAGGAGAACAGACAGGCTGTCCCTAACCCTATCACTCATGATGGTGCCTTTTTCAACTGCAATAATAACTGACACCAGGCATAGTCCTCTTTCCACTGATAGGAATGACCAGTCCCATTTCTGGGCTCCCTCCTTCTGTCATGGGAGTCAGGTCTCCAGGAAGCTGTTGCTTGCAGGCCTGGAATCTGAACACCGGGAGACCTTGCTGAAGCCTGATGAGCCATCTGCACTCTTCCAGGGAGGCCCCCTCTGTGGGCTGGGCTGGGCACATCTCTCAGACAATATCCCTGACCTTCCCCACAGCACTGGAGGTGCACACAGCCAAAGTGGGCTTTTTAGAACCTTGGCTTTTCCTGGATGCCTCACTCCTTAGCTACTGCATTCTTTCGTTAGACAGATGAGCATCTCTCGTGGATGGACTGCATAGCTATTTGCTGAGTTAGGAAGCCTTTCTTCTTTTTGGGATTATAGGTTCACCTGAGTTCTCTAATCTGTGATCTGTAAAAATCCTCTAGGACTTTTCCAATAGTAGTGAGTAGAGTATATTTTGAAGTACTTCATGTCTATGTTCAAATTTAGGTTTTTGTCTAAAGCCTCTTGCGGCTTCTTGGTCTTAGGCTCTTGAAAAAATTTTGAATGAATCTCACAAGTCTTTTTCAGTTCAAGGAAAATGTAGCAATGTAGGTATTTTTCTTATTTCATTCTTACTTTGTGCCTTTTTTACTTAGGCATTAAGCAGTCACACTGCTTTTACCAAACACAGCGAGGAACTTGGAACTGAGGAGGGCGAGGTTGAAGAGATGGACACTTTAGACCCTCAGACAGGTCTGTTTTACCGATCTGCCCTGACTCAGTCACAGTCAGCTAAACAGCAAAAACTTAGCCAGCCCCAGCTGGAACAGACTCAGCTGCAAGTGAAAACTCTGCAGTGCTTCCAGACTAAACAGAAGCAGACCATCCACCTGCAGGCAGACCAGCTCCAGCACAAACTCCCGCAAATGCCCCAGCTTTCCATCAGGCATCAAAAACTCACCCCTCTCCAGCAAGAACAAGCACAGCCTAAGCCAGATGTACAGCACACACAGCATCCTATGGTGGCCAAAGACAGGCAGCTTCCTACCTTAATGGCACAGCCCCCGCAAACGGTAGTACAGGTGCTTGCAGTGAAAACTACGCAGCAACTCCCCAAGCTGCAGCAGGCTCCGAACCAACCAAAAATCTACGTGCAACCCCAAACCCCCCAGAGCCAAATGTCGCTCCCCGCCTCATCAGAGAAACAGCCGGCAAGCCAGGTAACGGAATATTGATAGCATGCAAAGTTAAACTTCTCTGTTCACGGAAAAAAAAATGAGAGCATCACTGATATCATGATAGCAGTGCTTTCTCCTGGCAAGAGGAAATCCAAAAGCTCATTACACTGGTATTACTTTGCCCCATCAGAAGGTTGACACTAGGGAAGAAAAAAAAGTGTAGCACTCAGAACTTGATTTTCCAGGCATTTTCAAATGAAATCATTTCAGCATTGAACAACAGTGCATAGAAGCTATATTCCAAAGTTTTTATTTTTTAGGTATAAAATATCTTCATGCCTGTAAACTTATTTCTGTGGCAGTAACGCTAAGTACAGTCCTTTAAAGAACTGCACTGAACATCTTCCTTTATAGTTTATCATTGCCATTTAGTTAATTATATATATATATAGATAGATATATATGTATATCTATATATATATCTTCTAGATTTATCTTTAAATTGCAGAGGGATTACTGTGGATAATCGAAAAATATTTTATTAACGAAAATCAGTGGCTCTGGAGCAATCTGTATGTGTATATTATAAATACATATATATATATATATTATATGTGTGTGAAAATGTTTTTGAAGCAAAAGATTAAAAAGCAAAAGTCCTACTGCTTTTTATTTTAAAAAACCAACAACTATATGAAGTTTGAGCCAGGTTGAAGGGGTACTGTTTAGGGATATAAATTTCTAAAGAAAACTAGGCTGCTGTGACTTTTTTTCCTTTATTGCTGTAAACCTTGGCTGGCTGAACAAAAGTTCTTTCAACCCCTCCTCTTTCCCTAGGTTCCTTAGAAGTAACCAGATCCTTCCCATTCAACCTTCTTATTTTAAAACACCGAGCTTCAAAGTGTCCTCCTAGTGTACCGCACGAATGTTTCTTTTGCCATATTGTATGGGGTGTTTAATTAGTTTTTCTCAAAGAAATGTAGCTGTAACACACACAACCCCAATTTATTTTCAGGTGGAGCAGCCAATTATAACCCAAGGATCCTCTGTTACAAAGATAACTTTTGAGGGGCGTCAGCCTCCCACAGTCACAAAGATAACTGGTGGCAGTTCTGTGCCTAAACTGACATCACCAGTTACAAGCATATCTCCCATTCAGGCCTCTGAGAAGACAGCAGTTTCAGACATTTTGAAAATGTCTTTGATGGAAGCTCAGATTGATACAAATGTAGAGCATATGATAGTGGATCCCCCAAAGAAGGCTCTTGCCACTAGTATGCTCACTGGTGAAGCAGGATCATTACCTTCTACCCACATGGTGGTGGCAGGGATTGTGAATTCCACTCCTCAGCAACAGAAATGTAGAGAGTCCTGTTCAAGTCCGTCTGCTGTTGGCCCTCCCCTAACGACCAGGAAAATCGATGTACCAGGAGTGCATACAACAGGCCAGTTCATGCGTATTCAGAATGTAGGCCAAAAGAAAACTGAAGAGAGCCCAGCAGAAATTATCATCCAGGTAAGAATTGGAAAAAAGCTAAAAAATTTTGGGCAGTTGGGAGAATGTGAGTTTGGTGCATTTTTGAAACATCACAGGAAAAGTCAAGCCTAGGTAGCAAGAAGAAATAGAGATTGTCTTTGAGCTGGTGCTTGACAAATTTGGTGTAATAATTATGACAAATATATAAATGTATGTTTGATTTTTGGTGGAGAATCATCAAAAATTGGTGGATATTATCACGGGCTCTGAGCCCATGTGTCAGCTTGATTTTATGAATTACAAGCCAAATTTCTCCCTTTGTTAAATTCAGCAAGTTAACCAAAATGATTAGCAATTTCCTGGGTTTGCATTTTGAGATCCTCAATCTTTGCTTAAAAAATCCTGGAATACAACCAAATGATAATTCTACTCAAGTTAATTTCAAGAACGGCCCTAGTTCTTGATTACAAATTTATAGTTCTAGGGACAAACATCAATTCATTGGAATGTCTGGAGAAACATGTTGTACAGGAATGTTTCTAAAATACCTTCTGTCTAATTTAGAATTAATTATAAATTTTGTTTTTTATTTCAATCATTGTTATTTTAATCCTTTTGTTACGGTTATTGTCTTGCATTGGTAAGTATGTACCTGCATTGACCAGGTGACATAACAGAATGTTTTATTGACAGTATATCCTCCTGGACTTAACATTCTCTTCATTCTAAAGCTATCTGCTGTCTTGCATAATAGATGAAGATTATGAATTACTGAATCCAGACTAGCCTTTAAGAGTTGTGCTTTTTTCTTTCTCTGTGCAAGGTATTAGGTTTTTTTTTTAACATTGGTTGTTTTTTTCCTAACCTGGTATGTAGCTTGGGAAGGTATCAGAGCAATAGATTTTAGGTAACTGGAAATTTGGATTTATTAACATGTGAATTATTTAGGACTTACCATAAATTCAGTGCTATATGACTTGGTAGTTCTTGTAGTACTTTTCTCAAAATTTGCCATGATACCAAGCTATGAGAGAATTGATCAGTGTTAAACCAATTAAGATATAATTAAGTATGTGAGCTTAATAAATAAAATAAATAATGAAAATAGCCACTTAATCAAAATAATGTGTTTCCCTTTATAAAAGCAGATTTAACAAATTAATTCTTAACGAAAGGTTTTGTTAAAAATTTTCTCCTGAAGGGATAGGGCATATGGGAAAAGGGTGGTTTTCCAGCTTTGCTTTTCACTGCTTTGGGCAATGCTATTCTCATTCTGCCTTGATTTCCTCATCTATAATGGGGATAAGTAATGCCCACTTTATAGGATCACACAAAAAGAAGCACTGAGTATATGTAATATTTGGCTTATTGTCTAGGAGATGGTGACTGTTACTAATTTTACTAAAAATTACTGTGGCTAATAGTTTAGATTGGCATACTAACTACATTGAAAATAATTTTGGATAGCTTATTTGGAAATTAATTTTCTGCATTGTACTAATAGGAGTGAAAAATAATATGCGTCATATCAAGGATGATAGCTTAAGAGTAGGTTCTACACAGAATTCTCATGTTTTAGCATGTCCCTGTGCTAAGTGTGCAGTGTCAGTGAGGCAGCCAGTAGCAGAGTGATTAAGAACCAAGTTTTTGGAACCAGAGTTGACTAGATTTGATTCCCACCTTTCACTCATACGTGATAGCACTGTGGTTTTGGGCAACTGAATCTTCGTACCTCAGTTTGTTTACTTGTGAAATAGAGACAGTAAGATCTATGTCACCAGATTGTTTTGAAAATTAAATAGACAATTTATATAAAGTGCTTGGTCAAGTATTTGACATAAAGCAGTATTCAATAAAGATACCACCAGTTATTTTCATCATTAAAATATCATTAAAACATTTTCAGATCTGACTAGTTATGCTTATTTTTCCTGAAGTATTGAATGTATTCAATACTTTATTCAGTAATATCTATTATGTGTAGAATTATGGTAATACCTATTAAGTGTAGAAGTTTGTAAAGTGATTTGATATCTTGAAGAATGCTCTATAAAAAGTCTTTGATTTTAAAAATGAAATAAAAAATTGAAATACTTTGAATGATAAGCATCACCCTTTATAGACAATCTGATTTCTTTCATTGGTTCATTTCTTCATTCATTCTACATGTATTGTTTAACTACTATGTTCCAGGCCCTGTGCTAAATATGAGGATAAGATAGTAAACAAGATATATATCTTCTGTTCTGAAGGAGTCTATTTCAGTGGAATTTAGAGCTTTTTACAAATCGTAAGGATCTTTAGAGCATATATATTCCAACTATCATATTTTACACAGGATTATTAAGGCTCAAGAAAATGGAGCAATTGTTACTTGGAGTCACACAACAAGTCAGAGCCAGAACTGAACTAAAAAATCCATGTCTTCTTTCTCCATCTATACTTTTTCATAAACATCACTCTGAAGGAGAAAAGAAACAAAACTCCACCCGTGGAAAAATTGTATAGGCATCTTGCATTGTTTTCTTGATAATGCTAAAATTAATTTCACATCTCTCTTTAAAAGGTTATTTTGGTTTCCAAAGTGCTCATACTTAGTTTTGCTCTGGGGTTTTTAATATTCAAAATGTGTTACTCATTTCTCAAATGTTTATTGAGCATCTAGTATATGTAACCCCTGTTGAAAGCTCTGGGCATTTGGCAGTGGGTAAGATAATCATTATCTGTACTCTGTCCATGTTGTCACAGAGCTTACATTCCAAAAGTGAGAAGCAATTTAATAAACATATGGTAGATGCAATGAAGGAAATGTAACAAACTATAGTAGAACAGGGGTTGAAGGATTTGGACCAACTCATTACCAGTTTGGTGGTCATTGAAGGAAAGCATCTCTAACTCTTTGACTCTAAGCATTAGAGATATGATGCAAATGATAAGAATAGAGCCAACCTTGCAAAGTTTTGGAGGAAAGGGATTTAAGAAGGAGGGGAAGAGCTAACGCAAAAGTCCTAAGGTAAAGTGAGTTTTAGCATGATGCTGAAGCCCTGGAAAGGAGTTTGACTATATAGTAAATACAAAAGAAAGTAATTGTATAGTTTTTAATAGGAGCATGACATGAACGCTGATGCTTTTAAAAATATGTTTAATAAAGATGAAGAAAAGAATGTGGCAAGGCAATATACCCATAATATTTACTTACGGGGCTGGGGATTTAGCTCAGCGGCGTAAGCACCTACCTTGAAGCAGGCAGTTGTGAGTTCGATCCCCGGTACCGATAAAAATGAAAAAGACAAAAAAGAAAAAAAGATTTAAAAAAAAAAACGTAATATTTACTTACCCAAAGGCCCATAGCTAACGTTTGTCTACTGGTATTTTTGTTTACAGGGCAAGTTTTGGTGTTTCTTGTACTTGAATGTTTTCACTACTTTCATTTTCAGTACAATTCATTGTCCTGTGACCTAAACAAATTACTGTCCTTTCGAACCACTAAAGAGGCTTACAATATATAGTATTGTGATATCAGCAAACTAATTATTCATCTTGCAGATAGTAAAGAGCAAAATTTGATCTAATTCCCGTAATGATCAAATGGAAGTATTCTTTAAACTCTGTCTCCTGAATTTGGCAGTAGATTTTAGCCTCTTTTGTAGAGGTGTCATTAAGGAGTGAAAAGATCACTTGGAGTTATACAAGACTTGGATTTGAATTCTGGCATTAACCCTGATAGCTGTGTGACCTTGATTAAGCCTTTTACCTTTTTAGTTTGCTTATCTGTAAAATGGGAATAATATTTTCCTTATAATATTGTTAATGGGGATAATAATAGGAATAATAGTTTCCTTATAATACGTTAACGGGGATAGTAGAATATCATACATGAAAGCATCTAGTACAGTGCCTGGCATGCAGTAGATTTCCAATAAATGTCAGAAAATCTTAATGTTACCTTTTCTTACTGTGAAGATTGTTTCCCATATCTTCTCTTTCAGGCCATTCCCCAGTATGCTATTCCTTGTCACTCCAGCTCCAATGTGGTTGTGGAGCCCAGTGGACTTCTTGAGCTAAACAATTTCACCAGTCAGCAACTGGATGATGATGAGACAGCAATGGAGCAAGACATAGACAGTAGCACGGAGGATGGAACTGAGCCTAGCCCCTCTCGGAGTTCTGCTGAACGGTCCTAGTGTTTTGGATACAGGAATGCACTTTAAAACCTGCTTGGTTACCAAGTGTCCAGGGAAACTCTTGAATTCTAATGTCAAAGAAAGGAAAAAAAGAAGAAAAAGGAAAAAAAAAAAAGCACTTTGCCCGTACTTAAGCTACGGACCCTAAAACAGCAGTATTTCAATAAGATATTGCTGCAGGAGTAGCATTTTAGCAAACTAAAACTCACAGGGGAATGTACTTTTAAAAAAATTATTAAAAAAAAAAGATAAAAAGAAGAGGATGCACATCTACAGAGATTCAAGATCTGATATTCTTTCTCTGTTGGACCATGGCCAATGGAAAAGTTTTGTGTTGCAGTGAAAAGAGACTTCCATTGAGCAAGTTGCCATCAAAAAAGGAGAGTATGAATAGTTTGTATTTTGAAAAGATGTGTCATGAACAGTTTTTAAAAATCTTGTATGTTTTTGCAAATCCCTGGAAGTGTTGAACTGGTTAACGTTTTACGTTTGCTCAGTTGATAATTAGTGTATAAATATCTAGGAAAATACTGGCATTAAAGAACCCTTTTTGGAGGGCAGAAAACAGATCCGTAACCAGTAGGAAGTGCTTTTTGGGTGGCTTGTACATTCTCATTGTGTATGCTAATTTATTGTGTTTTTCCTTTGTGCTCTAGACAGCACACTTGCCTTCTATTTATTTAAGTGTAAACATTTCAAAGCAGGCCATAGTCCTTCTGACACATTTCTTGTAAACCAGGACTGTATTTCTTTCCATCTCCCATTCTTCCTCCAGTGCCCTTCAAGAAAATTATTAGAAAATGTACTATTGTAAAGTAGAGGGAAAAAATTTTTTTTTCTGGCCCAAAGGAAATGTTCATTTACATTAAGAAAAGCAAATTATTCATTCACGTGCTGTTTAATGTTGAAATTGCACATTCATGTTAGACTGAAACTTTAAACTAATTTTTACATACTTTTGTTTAAGCCCCTTTGAAATGTATAAAAAAGTTGATTTATAGATCTAAATGTAATGTTTTTAAGCATTCTACCTTTTTTAGGACACTGTTTTATCAGTGTATTTTGGTCTTGTGATTGTTATCTGTCATGAGTGAGGGGAAATGAGGTGGGAGGATAAGAGTTTTGACAAGTAATGGCAAAGGAAACTATACTTTTCATTTTTAAAACTGTAAATAGAAAAGTTTTTAACGGTTTTTATAAAGATTTCACTATAAATAAGCATTTTAAGACTGACAAATGTTGAATTGTACGTACGTATATCAGCATTACTGCCCAATTTTTTTGGTGCTGAAGTACTGTAAGTAGAATTCATCAAGTCTTCTAATTTTGCATCTATCTGGAAAAAAGAAAAGCTGTGATACTATGGTTAATAAATTCCCACTAAAACAACACTGAAGATTTCAACACAAGCATTCATAATGTGCAATGGTCTCTGGTAGTGTCAATTTCTATACTGGGTGATAGTGACTTACCCATAGATGGAGCTGTTGGATATCATTTCACTGTACAAATTCAAATTTAAAATACTTTTTTTTTTTTTTTTTTTGGTCATTTTGAGACAGGGTCTCACTATGCAGTTGAGACTGGCCTTGAGCTCACTTTGTAGCCCAGGCTGGACTTAAACTACAGCGATCCCCCTGCCTCAGCATCCTGAGTGCTGGGATTATTAGGCATGTACCACCATGCCTGGCTCTCTTGTTTAAAAAATTTGTAAACTTGTTTTTAGTTAAATAATTTTTTAACTTCTCATAGGTCATAGAATCCTATGAACTTCCACCAAAAAATACTCATGCTAATATACATGTTGTGTCTCATACACAACATACAATTTTAGGAGTTTATGGGCCACTAAACCTACCCAGGTATTCCAGGTTAAGCTCCCTGTTATAATCAATCCATAACTTACAGATGGAATTTTTTATAAAATAAAGTATCTTAAATAGTCATAGATCAGATAACAAGAACAAAGTTGAATAAAGTTATGTTCTACATATTTTAACAGCATAGCCTCCTTATGTCCCTTTAAGAATTTTGCCTTAATATGTTCAACCACTTGAATGGCAAGTGAAACTGCATATATATGTATGAGTTGTAAAGATATTTTCCTTTAAAGATACTAATTGCAAGTACTGCATGAATTCATTATACAAGGGATACCATAAGGAACAAACACTAAACTCTTATGGAGTTTATAAACAGGAGGGAAGAGAAAACAAGATTGATTCTTAGGCTTCTCAGTTCAGTGGGTTAGTCGTAAGGCCACCTGTAGATCTTTAGACATCTATTTACTAAAAATTTTAGTATTGTGTTTATTGGCATTTTCATGTTTCAGTCCATAAAATTAATTTTAAGTCATCTTTGTGAATTAGATTCAGACATTATAGTGCAGTTCTGTATAATTACTAGAATTCTGCTAATCCAAGGTAAGAATTCATTTGGCTTCAAGTAAATTTTAGTAAGTGCCTAGTATTTCAGATTCCAAATGGTGAAATGAGGACTCCTTTGGTTAACATACCACTTTATTAAGATATCCACATGCTATGTCTCCACTCATTTCAAGTGTATAGTTCAGTGGCCGTTAGTATTCCGAGTTGGGCAACCCAGTACCATAATCAATTTTAAAACATATTCAGCTCTGTACCCCTGAACACCTCACCACCACCACTTCAGTCCTTAGTGACCATTTTATTTTCTGTCCCTGGATTTGCCTATTCTACACATTTCATGTAAACAGAATCATATGGTCTTTAGTGACTAACTTCTTTTACCTAACATAATTTCAAGACTCACCCATATTGCAGCAAGTATCAGTGCTTTATTCCTTTTTATGACCATTCCATTACATGCATATATCACATTTTTTAAAAAAAGTCATCAGTTGATAGATATTTGCATTGTTTCTACTTTTTGGCTAATTTGAATAATGTTGCTACAAACACTATTGTACAAATCATGCTTATGTTTTTAGTTCTCTTGAGTGTAAACCTAAGAATGCAATTGCTGGGTCATGCAGATCTCGATTTAACCTTTTAAGGAACTGCCAGAGTGTTTGCCACACAGATGGAATGTTTTACATTCCCACCAGCAGTATACGAAGGCTCCAGTTTCTCCATACCCTTCCTAACACTCAATGTTGTTCTTTTTTCAAAGATAATCATGCTAGTATGTAAAGTGCCCCATTTGTGATTCTGATTTACATTCCTCTGATGGCTAATAATGAACGTTTTTTTCATGTGCATTTTGGCTATCAGTATGTCTTTGGAGAAACATTTCAAGTCCTTGACTTAGTATTCAGTCGAATTATTTTCTTAAATTGAGAACGTGTGAAACATAAGAATTATGCTGCTCTTAGCAAAGTGACCTGCCCTCCAGTAATGAGTTCTTCACTCTTAAAACCTTAGATTAAGTTCTGGTTTTTCCTCTCTAATGTAATAGTTTGAGTGGAAATCTTGCTCTGTAAATATATTTCTTTGCAGGATTTTCATAATAGCCAAAAGTAGGAAACAGTACAAAGAAAATAGTAGTCAGGTGGTCTGAATTTGAATTCCATGTTTCTCCAGCTATTGCTTACATAAAACTTACCAAGTTGCATTCCTGCTGCAAGTTGATTTCCCCATAACACAAAGTATTTTGGATTCATTGGCAAATTATGAAGGTGAGGCAAATAGTGTGTGTAAAATGTCCAGGCAGAGTTAGGTACTCAGTATCAATTCAGTAGTTAGGTTCGCTGTTGATCTTACAGGAAAATTTGATTCAGTTTTTGTCCAGTTCAGTTTTCAACCAGAATCATGGAAAGAATTAAGTTCATGAACCCAGGTACCACAATTATTTTTTAGTGCAGTAGTTATACTATTCCCACCTTACAAAGAGAAAATGAGGGCTCAAAGAATTTAAAGGGTATATCAGACCACAAATTAAAAATGCACATTTGTGCCGCCATACAGGATTGATTATTGGAAGAGCTTACTGTAGGAGTGATGCTGGTATAGCAAATCTCATCACCTTTGAGTACCTTCACACAGAAGTAGTTGATTCACATTGGTTTTTTTTTTTTCTAGTTCAATTATGTGTCACAGATCCCATAGAAGAGGAAGTAGAGTGAGACAGTACCATTACAAGCAAGACCTTTCCCAGAAAGAATAGTGAAAAAACAATGTTCTCAGGTTTGTAAGCATTTAAGACTTGTCGACCTATATATTGAAAAAAATTTAAGCACCATAGGTTCAGATTTGTCTTATGAGAAGGCTCATACCGCCTTCTCTCTTCTATGCTTACAGATTTACTAACTGAAAACGTACTTATTTTGCTTTACTTTTTTTTTTTAAGCTCAAGAAATCTTGAGTTTAAATCCTGATAAGTTGAGTGACTTCAACAAATTTAAAAAAAACTTGAAACAGCAGAGGATGGTGGTAGCATTGTATTACCTAACTTCTTTTTTAAAACACTGCTAGATAAGTAGTCTTGCTCTGCCCAAATGGTCTTATCCTGTAACCTGACTTACTAGTATTTTAATCTCTCCTATTGGGCAAGCAATAGTTACTGAATACTTTTCCTACGTGCAGACATCAAAGATGGAGTTGTGAGCGTGGATGGGTAGGTAAGGGGATGAGTTGTGGGAGAAGAATTTCAAGGAGGTTGCTGTGGCTGCAACATGAAGAGCAACGCCAAAATGAAGGAAGAAAAAAGACCAAGCTTTGAACGATAAAAATGTATGTCTTTGAGAACTACTGGAAGTCACTGAAATATTTTAAGTCACTGGAGCTGGTAGAATGAACTAATAATGCATTCATACAATATTTAGAGTCATGTGGGTTGATAGGAGAAAGACCATTGGCAGTTTTTAAAAGTCAGTCTCATTTCCTTATGTCATTTTTTTGTTTGTTTCCTAATATAGTATGAAGTGGGCATTTAAGACTCTTAGCTAAAGTGTACACCTACATTCTAGGTTCATATCCCATTTCACTACTTCTACCTATTGTCCACTACCACACACATGATTTGTCTTAAACTGTGCACTTGAAAATTTCACTCATTCTCAAAGTACAACTTGAATTCCCCCTCACTGAGCAAGATTGCCCAAACCTTTTCAGTGAGAATCCATTCTTCTGCTCTGCTGGGCTCCTCTAGCATTTGGAGGAAGAATACACATTCACTTAACATTAGTCACTTTCTGTGAATTATTTGCAGTGCACAAGGATCCTTTATATAGAGAAGGACTCACTTATTTCAAAGTTTAAATTTTTTCATATAATAACCTGATAGAAATTCTAAGTGTGTACCATCACACAATGTGAGGGTTCCTTTGTAATTCCCCATACCTACCTTCTAGAGAAATTGAAATAAAATATTCTAGCAAGTAATTCTTTAAAAAATCTATGTCAAGTCAGGCATTCCTATAATTTCAATGCTACACTAGGCCTCAATTCTGCAATTGGAAAAATACTCAAAAAAGCTGTCAGACTGTGGGATGGGTTACCTCCTTCTTAAACTTACTGTTTCTCTAACCTTAATAACACAGGACCAGTCTTGGAGTTCCTTGGACTTTCCCTCTGTACTGTCTCCTCCCAGTGTGTGTAAGACTATGATGAAAAAGATAAGAGACCTCACTGATCTCGTAGGCTGAAGCAGAAGAATCAAAGTTTGACTCTAGCCCAGACAACTGTCAGCTTAGTGAACCTATCAGAAATAAAAGCATAAAAAGAGTTGGGGATGTATCTCAGTGTGAAAGCCTTGGGTTCAATCCTGATTTACTACCACGAAACAAAACCTTCAGCCTTAAGTGACAGGCATTGAGATTTCATAGTTCTTTTTGTCTTATGTTAGAGTTCAGTTGTTGCTTTTAGTGAGATTATGACTAATCTGGGTAAGATTCATTCTCACATTCAACTCAGTGGCATTCCTCTAGTCCTTCACAGGATTGCTGGTTTCATTGCATGGTGGTGATCACCAGGGTTTGTGCTTGGCTTACATTCCTTGTTACTTTGCACAGTTTTCTGGGACTTTCATCTGTGCATAACTTTGACTTACAATTACAAGTGCATTAATTAAATCATTGGATGTACTTTTGTGAAACACTTGTGTCTCAAACACCATCATAGCCACTAAGCATACAGTAGTGAACAAAACACCAAAAAGCAGTGCTCTGTGTAGTTACATTCTGAACAGATAACTAATATGTAAACTAAAAATGCATAGTGGTTTTAATAAGAGAAAAAAAGTGAAGAAAGTGACATTCCAAGGTGTACAGTATGAGTTTAGATAAGGTATGCAAGAATGGCGTCATTTAGAAAATGGCTTGAAAAACTTAGAGAAGGTAAAAGAACTAGCCAGGCAGGTATCTGTGTGAAGAATGCTGCAAATGGAGGGAACTGCAAGTACAAAGGCCCTGAGGTGTGTCCCTGGCATATTCAAAGAATAGTAAGAATA